TCTGAAAACTGCAGGAGATTGATGTGACAGATTTCAACACAAAAGGAGGATTGAAAACCTTACTGAAAGCACTTGACTCTTGCACCAACAAGACAAGACTTGGTCTATTCTACATACTAGGGCTTCCACGGGAACTTGAGTTCTCGAGGACGAGTCGGGTTCAACTGGACTCGAGTCCATTTTCAAGGACTCGAGGACCCGAAAAGGGGCGATAACTCGAATTTTTTTACGTTGACAGACTGTCTGCCATGTGCTAAGCACGAGCGGCCGTAAACGTCTAATATTAAGATAAGATATAACTTTATTATCCCCGGAGGAAATTCTTATACATCCAAACTGTCTCAAAATGAATATATACACAGTTCACAAAAATTTACATGATAATTACATGCTCAAAACGAATGCTATTTACAAATAAATCTGACATGATATAATTCAATTAACCACATAGGTAAAGAGGCTGAATAATTCTAGTTGTAATCACATGTTGGTGCGATTCAAAATATTTGTTGCATTCACGAATACTTGATGGTATGAAAGACTGTCGAGCTCTGTTTGTTTTGAAGGAGGGAATCGAGAGCAGCGTCCACAAGGAAGTACTTCAAAATGGTGAGATCAAATATATCAACTATTAAATCTAATTTTAGCTGCCTTTTTGACAATCTGGCGCTCATAGATAAAGGGAATATACTCGAAAGACACTCCAGAAATTTTGCAAGCAGTATTAACAATATTGAAAAGTTTGTTGTTGTTGCGATGAGACAGATCCCCTTCCAACATAGAAAATTGTAGGTCAACACACTTTGAATAAAGGTTTGATAAAAAACTGTCATTACGGTTTTGTCAATGCCTTGACGATAATAATGTTCAGAATCAGAAATAAGGCCAGTAACAGTGGCGTCATCTGCACATTTCACAGTAAACAAGTCATATATTGACAAGTAACAGTCATTAGTATACAAAACGAAGAGGACGGATGAAGGAACACAGCCATGTGGATCTCCAGTAGAGGTTGAGAGAAAAGAAGATTGACAGCCATTGACACTGACATACTGAGTTCTATGTACCCTGAATTCTTTAACCCATCTGATAATGTTTTTATTAACACCTAAATTAAATAGTTTACTCCTCACACGGTGTGGCTGTATGGTATTAGTTGTTACAAGTCTGCAGATGAGAGTAAATATTATACATCGTTTGAGATTTCACTTCTTAAAATGATTAGGTAACTATCTTGACAATTGATAGACATGGAGAAAGATAAAAAAATCAAATGTATGGGCGTATCATGATCTGGATAGTGAAAAGAGCAAAATAACCAAATGCCGCCTGTGCGGTATATCACTGCGTTTTGCAGGCAGTACAAGAAGTACGAGGAAAAAAAACATTTGTCAAGTAAACATCCAAATACTGATTCTGACCAATAGGAAATGTTAGTCACATGACGATATGAAGTCAGAAAGAAGTAAGTGTTCACTTGTGTGATCGGAACACATCATGCAATTTACGCTATCGTTTGCTTGAAAGGTATGAATTTCGAGTACTCGGGTCCGAGTCGAGTCTCATCCCTCGAGTACTCGAGTCCAAAAAAATGGACTCGTTGAAGCCCTACTACATACACACAGTTTGATGGTTATCATCGAGCAGGTGGGACAAGTATGAACATATCATTGAATTTGAGAGAAGAAATGGCACGTGCAAAAGATACCAGTTGGAATTTCCTGACCCCATTCTTGCATTCAAACTTCTGGATTGTACAAATCTTTCAGTTAGAGAAAGGCAATTTGTTTTAACAGCAGCATGTGACAGAAAATATCAGACAAAAAGCAGCACTAAAAAGAATATTCAGTGAAAGCATCACAACTTGTATAAGTTCTGAAAATTGCATTGATATCAAACAAGAAACGGCACACATGACTCGCAATGATCCGAGAAGCAAAGCAAGCTATAGATACTCAACAAAAATACAGCAAGGTCACAGAGCAGTAACCAGAAAGGAACTAACCCGTTGGTCGCAGAACCAAGTGTGTAATTTGCCAAGCAATTTTCCACTGGGTAAACTACTAAAGGACTGTCCACATAAAGATGAAGAGATGATTAAACTGACAGAAGACAGCAGGGAAGAAACATGCAATCTTACCTTGTTCACCAAAGAAGAAAAGATAGAAAATCAAATCCTTATGATGGAAGCCTATGGATCTGCAGTTCTAGATACGGCCTGTACAAGAACAGTTTGTAGCTGACAGTGGTTTGACAATTCAATAGGAAACTTAAGTCAGAAGAGAAAATCTGAAGTGGTTACTACAGATAGTGCAAAAGCATTCCGATTGGAGATGGAGTCAAAGTGATATCATCCATGGCAGCTTCCTGCAACAATTGGTGAAACTGAGCGTAACATAGAGGCAGAGGTGGTGAATTCTGACATTCCATTGTCATTGAGCCAGCCATCCCTGAAGAAAGCTGGAACCAAGTTGGATTTAGGTACAAAGCTGAAATGTTCAACAAACCAGTTACGCTCAGTCTGACTTCAAGTGGCGACTACTGTGTGGAAATATCAGGAGACAGAGCACATACTGAAAGTCACAACAAAGAAGGAAGAAGTTTTGAATGAAGAGGAGAGAACCTTGTACAGATCAAAAGTAGGCCAAATATTGTGGATTGCCAGACAGAGTCGACCTGATGTCTTGTTTGAAGCTTCAAGATTGTCATCCTGTTACAAGCATGCAAAAATTAAACATTTAATGGAAATAAACAAAGTCATCAAACAGATCAAGGTAGAAAAGGTGAGGTTAACATATCAAGAACTATCGGGTTGAGAGATGGAGCTTCTAGTGTACAGTGATGCAGGTTTTGGCAATCTCTCAGATGGAGGTAGTCAAGGGGCCTACATTATTTTTATCTCCAATCACAAAGGACATGTGATGCCGATTTGTTGGGAACTCAAAAAAGGTCAGACGGATGGTCCGAAGCACCATTGCAGCCGAAACTTTAGCTATGGCAGACGGTGTTGATATGGGTATATTCATATCCTCACTATACACAGAGATAAAGAGTGGCAAAACAACCCCACTGATGCTCCTGCTGGTGGCCATCACTGACTGCCAATCTCTCCATGACAATCTGAAGTCTACCAACATGCCAACAGAGAAAAGACTAAGGATGGAGATAAGTTCTATCAAAGAGTTGAGGGACAGCAGTTTAATCAAGAGAATCCAGTGGGTGGACGCAAAACATCAGCTCTCGGACTGTTTGACCAAGATGGGCATCACCAGCAAGGCTCCTTCAAGTCCTCTGTGACAGGCGGCTTTGAAGTTCTGCTGTGATACGAATTTTAGACTTTAACCCTGTACAAAGTTTTAATCAAAAACCAAAATGACAAAAACAGGTTTATTGCACTTTTATGAGACTCCTACCTTCATGTCCCTGAACTATTTTATAAAGACTTCAACATCCATATAGATAAGTGGAACTTTATCCTTTCAGTTTCGGATTCTAGAAATCACGACACAAAGAATGAAAAGAGGGAATTTGATACAAGTTAGATACAAGGCTTGATACAAGGGTTGATACAAGTTAGATACAAGATACAAGGGTTGATACAAGTTAGATACAACATACAAGGGTTAGATACAAGATACAAGGGTTGATACAAGTTGGATACAAGATAAAATGGTTAATACAAGTTGGATACAAGATACAAGGGTTGATACAAATTAGATACAAGATATAAGGGTTGATACAAGGGTTGATACAAGTTAGGTTTGTTGATAAGGCTATTAGAGTGCAGCTGACCTGATGACACCTGGACTGTCATGGAAACACAATAGATGGGCTTGGATACTGATTAGCTTGGACTGGACGGAGTGGACTAGACTGATTGAAGGGCACAGGTAGTTGACTTCAGGCAGAGGCCAGGAGAGGATGTGTTATGCCAGTGAGTAAATATATAGCTGAATTTACAATCCAGTCAGGCTGGTAAGGCTCAGCTCAGGGCCCTTGCCTCTTCTACACACAGCCCACACAGCAAATGGGACTTCTCCCAAGAAACACTGCCTAGTCGAATCCACCAAGAACTTTCTGGAGAATATGTAGACTCCACAATACTGCAGCCTTCTGCATTACCCAGAGTGTCAGAAGGGCTGTGCTCCCGGTGGAGAACACAGGCACTCTCCTGATCTGTGCCAAGACTGCAGATTCAAATCCCTCTAGAGGATTATAATGAAACCTACTCCCGGGATAAACTATCATAGGAGTAACGTACGTCCCAGCTGCACTAGGCGCAGGCCAGAACCGTCACCTGAGATTTGTCTGAGGATGAGAAATTATACACATTATGGCATCCTTTCTCTGCAAGAACTTTCCCACTTTTTGGACAAAGGGGAAACCCTGACTCATCAGCATTGAAAATGCGTGATGGTTCGCTTAGTAACTGCGCATCTGCATTTTTATTTAAATACTCTGAAAGCGAGTCAAACCACTGGTCAATTTTTTTCTTTTTGTAACCATGGCCCTTTCCTTTGCCAACTGCATAGGTGTTTTGATCGACAAAGTTGGGTTGCGTCTCAGAAAGGCAGAAAACCAGTCTTTTCCTGGTCTGTTATTTTTAAAGGGTTTGGGCGATTTGTTTCCTTTAAAATGTTTTTTGAACTGTGTCAAGGAGCTGCTCCCTAGTCCGCCCCGTACCCAATCTGGGACATCTGGATAGCCCAGAGAGAAGGTTTCTGCTCCTCCTCATGTGACAGGATAGGGGGAGGGCCCTTTTTGAACTCAATAGGGACCTTGTTCATTAGTTTATCGTGAAGAGTACTTCTTGGGATACCATAACTTGTCGCAGCTTTCCTAACGGGAATCCCTTGGGTATTAATGGCTTCTATCGCCCTTCTCACGTTATCAACGCTGTAGGTTGGTTTATTAGCATTCCTTCCCCTGTTCATTTTGTTGCAGAACCTACAATTCGTTAGAACATAAATAAGGAATAGTGCAAAAGATTTATGTAAAACGTATTATTTTCTTCATATAAGATTATATAATGTTATTATGTTTAATGTTAAATTTGATTTTATTTATAAATTAGTTGGATTGATGTAAATTTATTTGTTTATTGAAATGGGGATGAGATTGTTATTTCAAATGTGTCAGTTTAAATGTGTCCGAGTACTGCCTTCCTACTGTCATGCACTGGGGCAGTAGCCGGACAGGGCACAAAACGGGCCATATTTAGAATTTGGCGCCATAGCACTTCGAAGCCGGCTGCATGCATTCACTAGAGTTCTTATGTCAGTTAGATTTCATCTAAAACAAGTTGTAAGTAGTACATGATCTTAAAACCGGAAACGGTGTTGCTTAGCGGAAATGTAAGACTATCAGGGGGCGTGGCAATCAAGTAGGAAGGCAGATATTGGATGCTTTGCACATGGGTGTTACCTCTAGCAGACGATTTTTTTGTGACGCAGGGCGGAAGAGGAATATTTATGCGCATATATGTTGCGCATTAACGCTTAACCTAATTAGCTATAAATATATGTTTAACGAATGTCCGAGTACTGCCCGTGTCCGGACACTGCCGCTACCGCTCTAGTAAATTCACACTTAGGTCTAGATTAATATTCAAAAATATAAAAAAATATGTTACCTGAGGGTATCAACATTATCTCCCATTAAAACAGCATACCAAAATTAAATTTGATAAGTGGATATAACAATTGCTCAGGTTTACCTTAGAATAAATGCTTGTGTGGCCTTCTTTGTTAGTGTTCAATAACCAAAATATCATGGAAACTGCTGTATTTATTTAATAAAAAATTATTGTGCAATATAATCCCTTTTCATTAAATTGAAATTACATACCGGTAGGTAATTTAGGTTCATCTATTCAAATTGGGATGTCATCATATTTCATTCCCTTACTCACTTGCAAGAGCAGTTCAGAGCACATGGTGCATGAATACTGAAGTACGATTAGAAGCAAGATAAAGGGAAAAAACTGCGAAACATAAAACTAACAGATATGCACGTGCTCCTACTGTCACATCCCGTTGCATACTGTATGCGCGCACTAACAAAGGTATCCAACCTCTTTAAGAGAGGATTGAGGGTGGTGACTTTGATCTTGTTTCAAGCATTTAGCTTGGAGCTCCAGAATTTTTTCAAAGTACAAAACCTATTCGGTCGAACAAGGGACCACATTGTGCAGAATCGCAAGCCTGACACTGAGAAGTATGAACATAGGTTTGAAGCTTACTACAATAGGTGTTTGATGCGCTACATCCCGATATCAAATTTTCAAGATTAGACTCATAGTGACGAAAACCATTATTGACCAAAGCCTGTTCGTCTCCCCTCCCTGCCATCTTTGACAATGTTTATGCCATTTCAAGAAGCTATGACTGCCGTTTTTGGATGCTATGACTGCCGTTTTGTACGCTCGGCTACCGTTCTCAGGCGATCTTGTAGCTGAATTGCCAGTTTTGTTTCCATTTCAAATGATTAGTTTTCCATTACAGAGCGTTTGTTTCGGTTTTAGAGGATATTGCTGCAGGTTTGGAAGTATATTTTCCTATTTTGGGTGATATTTGTTCTGTTTTGGTGTATATGAGTTCAGTTTTTATGATTTGTTCACTGTTTGTATGGTAGGCCTGAATCACAAGACTTCAGAATCTATTCATGAGGGACAGAGTCATATGCTTATTTGTAGTCAATCCAGCACATGGAGAGGTTGTGGTGATATGTTTTAGTCTCTTCTAACATCAGTTTCTGGGAATCCAGAAGTTGATTCTTGCACCCCCAACATCTCTTCCTTGCTCCCTTCTGCTCTCTGTAAATTATGTCATTGAAAGAGCAGTAGGATGACATGAGGTTTGTCAGACACCCTGTGCATATTTTACATTGTGTATTCAAACACGTTGGGATCTGTCGAGTCCCCTTTTTTGGGAAGGAGTATTGTGCGACCTTTGCAGAACCATGGAGGAACATTGCCTCTGTCCACGAGAGAATGAAACAGTAAAGTAATGGTGTTTTGACACAGGGAAACAGTTTCCAATACCAGTTTCAAATGCCATCAGACCCTGGAGCTGTATTAGGTTTGGACTTTTCGAAAGCATTTTTCAGGCAGTCTGGTGAGATGTAACAGATAAAGGACCTAGTTATTTTCGCATGATCGTAATCCCGGACCCATGGTACCTCAATGTCACAGTCACTGGGTACAGACAACAACTGTTTCCAGAACCTTTCATCGACATCCATGGGAGGCCGCTTATCATGTTCGCCATCACCTTTTGTCTGTAAAAGTGCTTTTCAATATTTTTAAAGAGTATAATTTGTTTAATAAATTTGTTCTTCTTTTCCCATTTTGTCTTTCTTTCAGTCCAAACCTTTAATTTTGCCTTAAATTAATTGACAATTTGGAGAAGTACCTTTTTTTTCGTTGTCTTAAATTGTAATGTTTATGTTCTACCAATGGCCTTTTGCCTTTTAGACATTGGGTTCCCTGACAAATCCAGGAATACTTTCTTAGTTTCATTAAGTTTTACTAGAAACCGTGTTTTTTTAATGTTTTGTTATTATCACTGGATGTTTTTCTTTGGAAACTGTGTGAAGTTCCTCAAAGTTTGAGCAGCAGCACAGACACAGCAAATCATTTCATGTAATGAACAGTCCGCAGAAAGTTTTAGAGAAATAGCTTCATTAAGTAAATCAATTTCATTCTTGGGAAAAGACACATTTAGTTGTTTAATTGGCTTCCTCTTCTCTAAAGGTAAATCACAAATTTCCTCATACATAGAGTTGAACAAAATGTAAACAGGATGTTTGGAAAGATCTGCAACTTAGGAAGAAAAGTGAAGGTCAGAAATTTTGGGGCCAGTTGCATTTGTGCCGGAAGAGTTTGCATTAGAAAGAGGAAAGAGTTTGACAAGGATGTCCATTAGAAGTTTTGGGTTAGTCTGTCTCAGTCCCTGAACCACATTATTTCCCCTTCTGCCAAGCCCTCTCTGCAATGCTGAAGCCTTAAATGAAGCAAGTTAAGATTTCCTCAGGTTCTGAATCTCTGGTCTCCCTGGGGTTCTTTTTCAATTTAAACAGGTTTATTTGTTACTTTTAAAATTATCTATTCTGGGACTAAGCATTAGTCTAATTTTGGGTCTGCTGCCATTTGAGAATTCTGCTCATGCAAAGTTTCCTGACTGGCTCCAGTTGTTGGTTCAACTGGCCTACTGCGAATGTGAATTTTAAGTTGCCAGAGTTGGTCTCGGTGATTTTGCCCTGTCAGCTTAAGCGACTTACCATTTATACATGGATTGTCAGGCCATCCTGTCATGTTTGCACACTCAAGTAGTGTGCTTTTGAGTTGGTTTGACCAAGATATTCTTGGTCGAGTTCTGTGCCTTCCCCTGGGGCAAGTCCCAAGTTTCATTACCCGAGGAAGGCTGACTGGGCTGCGGAAGTGAAAGAAAATTTTCCTCTTGGCTGTCTGTAACCCAGTAAGAAAAACAGCTTTGGGGGGTCAGCCCTAACTGGATGATGTACGTTTAGGGCCCTTGCCCCCTCTACATGCGGCCCAGACAATGAATATTATTGCATCATGAAAGGTAAAGAGTAGTCAATAATGCAAACGGTTTTGCATTAAACAGCATGTTTTTTTACAGGTACAGATATTCCTTTTTCTTTTTATGCACACGTTTGTGGAAGTTGTATGCAAGGATCATAAAATCATTCTTGACATGTCAAAGTTAAGATGCAGTTGTCTCCCTTTGTAAATCTGGTCTGTCTGCTTTTTTGTATTATAAACTGTACAAATAACATTGTTAGTATGTTTTAATAAAACCACAAACTTTGCTCAATACATGTTAGTACATGTTTGTATTAACACATGAAAAAGTTTAATTCCATTTATTTACTTTTAAAGAAAATTACAAGATGTTAATGATGCAGCTTAATTCCATTGAATTTATGGAAACAAGCTCATCAATTCACCCCCTACTCTATCTCTTTATATGTTTAGGCAGGCCACCGAGGCCTTATATGATTTTAATATTTCAATTTAGGCAGCATGATTCTGATAATCATGCATATGATACCCAATGATGTAAACATGAGAGAATAAGGACCAAAAGTACATGCCAATCAGAATCGAGTATCACACAATGTCGTGCTAGAATGATAATTACTGGTTTTCTTGTCACTTGTCATGTCTTGTGAGATGCTAGGCACGAGTAAGCTATGGTTATATATTCAAAGAAAAGACTCCAGGGTTTAGTACTCCAAAGTACCTTCCAGAACTCTGTCTAAATATAGCACATGGCTGCCCCTCATTGACTATCCACACATACAATGCATTACACTTGGGACATTGTTAAACAGTAAATAACACTGACATAGAACACATGATACAACGGATTTGAAAATATTGAATATAACAATAAATGGGTTAGCTGTGAAAAGGAAATTGAAAACTATGAATAATTCAGAATACTTGTGATTAAAGTACTGTCGGAAATAGAAAAAAACTGTTTTTAGGCTGTTACTCTGTATCCCTAAAATTTACACAACTGCAAATAGCAAATGTCGAAATAACCCACTTTGGCCTAACTGGGCATTCAGTGGGATACGTAAGAGAATATCCAGAAAAACACGTTTACTCGTAAAATCGGGCAAAACTTAGAAAAAATACGAATAGCTGCTGAAAACAATAGATCAGACTATAGATGGCAATTAGGTCGCTCAGCCAGGTATGACGAACCGTCGACTCACCAGGCATGAAATGCACGTGCTGCCTACAGGCACAAGGGGTCATCTCAAAGATATTGTGTGCTTTTTCATGTGTGTTGACTATGCCTCATGTATTGATTAACATCTTACGTGTCTTTTTTTCATGAAGTTTATGTCGAGATATGTAAAAGAGTATGATACCTGATAACCATAGAAACGCATCACATTGAATGTATTAGGTGGCATGACCACCCGATCGCGAAGATCGACAGGACTGGATATTATTTGTAAATTGTTATGACATGCCGTTTACTTCCCCAGTATAATTGCCTTAGAGGAATATTTTATCGTAGCTGATATCTTTATCCCCAAGCCCGATCCCAACGATCGTCTGCGACACCCGTCCAGGTTTTGCTTTTGAGACGACCCCTCCTACCTGTTTCTTTTTATAGTGACAGTGAGACTCCATGGTAGCTACATCCTTAATAGTTTCAGCATGAAATTTATTATTTTTTACGCCAGCTATCGTTTATAATGAAGCTATGTCTAATTTCAAATTGGGCATTTAAAAAGAGTCCTTTGTAATACAATATCGTCGCACATTAATTTGCATAAAGCCATGGTCTGTTTCAAATAAATCGCTTTGGACTTTGAAAAAAACCACATTGCTTATTTCTGCACTAATCTCTCCTCAGTAAAGTCCTTTTTCTGCATTTCTTATGTCCCTACCACTGAGACTTGTAGTTAGGCCGAACTTAGTTTAACAGATATTTCACACTTGCACATATCAAATACATAAATTGTAGAGATAAATGAGAAAATACAGTTTTTTTCTATTTCCGACAGTACTTTAGGAAATATTTGTCTGAGTATCATCAATGTCTGTAATACCCTAATGGTGGAAAGAAAATGAAACAGGAAATTTAATCATCAAACTGAAGCAGACTTGCCTAATACTTTGATGTTGATAACTTAATGTTTAAAAAATGTTTGCAAGCATATAAATGTACTTTTCCCAGTTCTTCCATATTAAACCCCAAAATTTCAACCCTGTCAAGCTGGAGTGAGTGAGTGAGTTTGGTTTTACGCCGCTTTTAGCAATGTTCCAGCAATATCAGGGTGGGGGACACCAGAAATGGCCTTCACCCATTGTACCCATGTGGGGAATCAAACCCAGGACTTCAGCGTGACGAGCCGAACGCTTTAACCACTAGGCTACCCCACGCCCTCGAATAATTTGAAGTACAGATGAGGCGAGTGTAGTTTCAAAGGATGTATACTACTAAGAAGTAATGACAGCATTTTTCTGGCTTCAATAGAAATATTGTCAAACGCTCTTGACCACTGTAACCTATTACTGAAATACAATCCAAGATACGAGATATGAAATTACCCAGTAATACCATCATCCATTAAATATCCCAAATATATGGAGGCAGACAACAACTTAGATATGAATTATTGTCTAACCTGTTTTGGTGGTGCATTCACAAATGTGAACTTCTAAAACCACAAAGCACTACATTATATATTTGACAAGCTGAGTGTAACCCACTATTATATTTCACAAATGAACCCTTTAAGACAATCGTGATTCATTGTAATAGCTACATTTATAGCCATAGTTAAAGCATTTGTTTAACCATAAGTAATGTAATCTTTCATCGAACTAAAATAAATCAAGTATTCGTCCTAAACAATTTTATTATTTATAGTTTGGCCTGAAAATATTATTGCAAACTACACTTACCTTTGGCGGTCACTCTACCGAAGAAACAATTAACTTTCTATTCGTCTCCCTTTACACGTGTGAAATCGATATGGGTCACAGTGACACAGGTGCGCCGGATGTGCGCCTCGCTTTGGCTGTAAACATGACAGGCCATCGAAATGGAGTGTGACACCTTGGTGACTTGGATTTACTGTTTTCAAAGATAACCCCTGAGGTAAAACTGTTTATAAGTTATACAAACTTGTTTTTGAATACTTGTATTTTCAAACTATACAACAAGATCGTCGATAAGTTATTTGCCGCTTTCGCTGACCTAGAGGACGATCTGAAAGTTCGTGAAACAGTCTCTCTCAGCTGTAGTTTTATTCACAAATTGGTATTCCGTTGCGTGATTGATATCGTGAATTAATTATGACTGGGTTCCTAAAGATTTCAGTCTTTCGTTATCTAGTTGGTTTGACTTTTCACTTTGGAGAATCCTTTTCCTTGTAGCAACTGACAAATGTCTCTTTGTGTATTCAACGATGTTGAAAAGGCATAGGGCTCAGTCCTTTTAAACAAATATATTTCGTAGTACGTTCACCATTCAAATGACAGTCGATTCTGGCGTGTATATTGTTTTAATATTGTTTGTCGAAGTGTTTACTTTCGAAGTGTTGTTATGGTATAATTTTCATATACGATTTGTAAAAGTCTCAGTTATGTGCCTGTCAGCTTTAAATTACGTGTACAATTTTGTTCGCCCATTAAATCTTGAACACTGTTTGATCTTAGCTTGCCATGCCTACAATGTACACTTTATATGTTTCTTGTAAGAAATAATGAAATGTGATTGATTTGTGTTGCAACACTTGAGGGTTGGTTGTTCGTGCTATCAACCACTAGTTTGTCATGGCAGTATGTGATTACTTAGAGACTGACTTATATGGCTGTTACTTTTAGACAACATTCACTCAGTTACTTGTTGTTTTGAGTGAATACAATTTATTATTCTTAAAATATCTTTTACATTCAAAGAATGTTTGTTGTAATGTATGAAAATATTGACACCTAATCAAGCAGCTGATATTCTTGGTATGGAAAATTCATCATCCTCTCAACTAGATGCCTCTCTGAAAGCATCAAATGATGTATTGGCTTAGAGAATATAGATACAAATATGTGCAGCAAGATCACATCATGTTACAATATACAAGTTGCTTATATAGGTGTTTACAGGTAATTGATAACCAGTGTTCATGTGACACTAATTTGCAATTGGTTTTGTTTTAAAGATCTGTGTATTGATAAGTCAGACCAGTGTATATAACATCACTGTATGTCAAGTAGTTGTATATGGCGCTTTTTCATGCTTTTTACAAGTGTTTGTTGGTATTCAGGAAGTTACATACTTCCTAGTTGTTGCTATATTTTCACGTTTTATCAGTTATTTTTTTTGTCGTTTTAGTTAAACCAGCTGATTTTAACACTTATTCCTAATGAATATGCCCAAAAATTCATTTATATTTGTCTTTTAAAAAAATTGAAAATAAAACTCCAATTGTTTTTCTACCTGAAATTAATTTATTTTTATTAGTACCAAGATTTGATTTCTTGTGGACATTTCTTTAAAGGTGACAAATGGAAAAATAGTAGAAACAAATTATGGATCACAGCTTCAATGTATTAACAAAGATTTTATCAAGACATTGTGTCTACTTTACCTAGATTGAACACTTAAGCAGCAAACATCAAGGTCTCTGTCACGTTCAGTCTTTTCAGACATGATGTATAAGCTGTTGTATCATCACTCCCTGATAGTTCTGCTGGGTAGCCAGTATTGAACTGTTTACTTTGCTGCCTATTGGAGATTGTCTGTGGTGGAAATTGATGAAAATCAAATCACTTTCCTGACCCCTCTCGTGACATAATGGCCAGCTAAAGCTGATGAGTCTGTGGGTCAGAGCACCTTACTGTTGAGCTACTGCTGGGACTAATTAGCAGGTCTCTGGAGTGTATACATGGTGTGTATTGACTGCATGCTGCATGTGATATATGCAGGTGGCAGTATACATGGGATTGTCCGACTGCATGAGAAACAAACACATTTTTAACATCACAACATGTATCGTGCCAACGTGTAGACACATATTTTAATTTTTCTTCACATTTTCAACAATAAGAGGTATCTATGGATATATTTGTAAGATTCCATTTAAGGTTGATATTTGTAATCATAGGTCACATTAGCTTTTTTTTGTCCTTTTTGTGTTTAGATTGTGAAGAATTTACTCTGTGTCACTGCTTTTTGTTGTTGTTGAAATGTTATGGTTTTTCTTGAAATTGTGCTTGTCAATCTTGCAGGTTATTTGAAGCACAAACCTGAATCTATCTTAGTAGGTAAACATGTATCTTGAACAGAGTCCGACTAACAGTGGGTTTTTGTCCTGACCTACAAAAACCAGGACCTTGATATTTCATGTCCAACATTTTGTACAGTGAATATTATCAGAATTCAGTATATATATTTTTCTGTGTCCATTCTATGAATGCTTGCGTACTGGACCTTATTTCTGTGTTACATGAACCCCTGTTAATATAATTGATCTGCAGCACAAACACAGGTCCATCTTAGCAAGTTAACTGTAGCCTAAACCCAGGTCCATCTTAGCAAGTTAACTGTAGCCTAAACCCAGGTCCATCTTAGCAAGTTAACAGTAGCCTAAACCCAGGTCCATCTTAGCAAGTTAACAGTAGCCCTAAACCCAGGTCCATCTTAGCAAGTTAACAGTAGCCTAAACCCAGGTCCATCTTAGCAAGTTAACAGTAGCCTAAACCCAGGTCCATCTTAGCAAGTTAACTGTAGCCTAAACCCAGGTCCATCTTAGCAAGTTAACTGTAGCCTAAACCCAGGTCCATCTTAGCAAGTTAACAGTAGCCTAAACCCAGGTCCATCTTAGCAAGATAACAGTAGCCTAAACCCAGGTCCATCTTAGCAAGTTAACAGTAGCCTAAACCCAGGTCCATCTTAGCAAGTTAACAGTAGCCTAAACCCAGGTCCATCTTAGCAAGTTAACAGTAGCCTAAACCCAGGTCCATCTTAGCAAGTTAACAGTAGCCTAAACCCAGGTCCATCTTAGCAAGTTAACAGTAGCCTAAACCCAGGTCCATCTTAGCAAGTTAACAGTAGCCTAAACCCAGGTCCATCTTAGCAAGTTAACAGTAGCCTAAACCCATCCATCTTAGCAAGTTAACAGTAGCCTAAACCCAGGTCCATCTTAGCAAGTTAACTGTAGCCTAAACCCAGGTCCATCATAGTAAGTTTACTGTCTCTTTTATGTGTACACTTTATATAAAACCTAACAAAACATGCAGAAATCCAAACAGGGTATTCCAGTCAGTTAACTGATAGTGGTCACTGTTTTCAGATAAATACATACAAAGAAAGAGCTGGTTAGATTGTGCTGGAATATGAATGTTTGCTATTGAATGTCAGTGTACAGTTTGGCAGCAGACTGAAGCAGTATACCCATGTCATGGCTCTTCCATGGCTTGCTTGTGGCGCCAAGCTCAGTGTCAGGTTGCACTTTCTTTGTCTCAACTTGGTTAGCGCTTCATAAGTCTTTCTCTAATAGAAACGTTACTGAAGATTAAAGCAAGGTATTGAACATATATCCTCCTTTTTAGCTTTTGTCTTGTTCATCTCATGTAGGGTACAATCTTGAGCAAATATTCTCCATTCATGCTTTCTCTTCATTGTGAAAATAATGGGTTTTTTCTTAAATTCTGACAGAACATCATGCTCTGGTAATGCTTCCTTGGTTGATGCATGTCATCCTATTCCAGTTGCTTAGGTCAATCAGGGGTGGAAATAATTTTAAAATTGCTAGTGTACTCCGGTACAGTGGCACATGTAAAATCACTTGCCCTGATAATTTTTCCACTATACCGACCGTTTTCTTGTTGATTTTTTAAATAAACAACATAATTGATATTGGAAAGTCAACTGGACACCGGTACAGTGTGATATACAAATTTGCTTGCCCGACAGAAAAAAACACTGGACTTGGGCGTCGGGCAATGGGTTATTTCCACCCCTGTCAATGTTCCTGATGTCAACTACGGTAATATTGTTGAGTAGAGTGTTTCACAGCACAGAAACATTCATGTGCACAATGGTACTGTCATGTTTAACATGGTGGGTATGCAAGTCAGGGTATCAGACTGTTTTTGAATGTCAACCATACATGCAACAACTGTGCTGTTCAGTTAATCAAGATTAGAGAGGTTTCACATAGAACTAAGTGTAGATGCTCCCAGTAATGTTGTGTATTGTTGCAATTCATTACTTATCATCAAAAGCAATTTTGTTTTTTATCATGGATGTTATTCTTTTTTATGTTATAATTTGTACGAAACTACACATGTTAATGTTTATGATTTTCATATCAAAAACACAAATCAAAGCAGAAAAGACATTAAAAAACATGAATAAGGAAGTTATGGAAGCAGACATGATTTGATGATCTTTGGGGGTCAGTTTGAGGCCATTAATTTGTGATTCATACATATTTACCCAGTTGTCTATCCCTAATGAACTTTGAGAGGCATTTTTAGAAGTTGTATAGTTGTATTCTTTATTGCAGGGAAAAGTTGACTATCCATAGAACTTGGTTTTCCTATCCCTAATGATATGAGTTTGATGTTCTGAAATTTACATCTGCTTGTTTTTGGTATATGTTACGTTTCATTTTTAGGCTTGACTGAAATGCAATTTTTCTGGAATTTTACAGTTCTGATAATTCAATACCTGAATTGTGGTAACATTATGATAATTTGGTTTAAGCTATCGGACCTCTTGCTTGTATTAAGCAGACCACTCAGTGTGTGCTGTCCGAGAAATTACCACTTTACAATAATCCCCTTGTTAACATATTCTTTAGGAAGTCCATTTGGCTTCAATACATCCAGGGTTTTAAGCCATATTAAGGCTCAGTGTCGTTCACAATGCTGGTCAAGTAATGCTGTCAGAGAGCCTGTCTGGGTTGTGTTGTTTGATGGACACCTTGATGGCCAGGAGAGACATCCTCACTCAAGTCTTTTGTGTCTTCACAGCACAGACAATTGCTCAAATCAGCTTCTTGTATTGTTTTCCCCATCACCATGGTTACTGGGGAGATTATTAGAATAGGATTACTCTGCTCTATGGTATCCCTTGTGCTTGACCTTTGACCTTGCTGCATACATGTACATCAAGAGCCGTTAGGAGTTAAACGGTGTTGTTCTTGTTTTAGATATTTTGTCATTACTGGAGTTAACAATAGGTGTCTATGAATAATTTGAAGATGAAAGGTTTTGTAAGAAACTATGAATTGTTCATGCTTTGTGTGTAGCATCCTTGATAAGTATTGACAGTTAAAGGATCTTACCGAGCTAGTACCTCAAGGGTTTACATAGGAGTGTGTTCAGAACTGATATAAGAAAATTGGTTTGTGCTGTTCGTGACATACATACTCCATGGAAGAACTAAGGCATGGTTAAGGAATAACTGCTGGAGTTCAAGACCAAGTGTTATTATTTCAGATAGGCTTGTCTCAACAAGACACTGGTTTGATTCCCCATACATAAAATGTGTGAAGCTAATTCCTGGTGTCCTGGTTTTACAGCTAGAATATTGCGTAAAGCAGAGGAAAAGTGAAGTGAAACCAAACCAAAACTCTTCCCTGCTGTGTGACCAACAGGTTGCATGTTATCTAGGGTGTACACCTATGGTGTTATCGTCATCTATCATTGACACAGTATTCATGATGTGTCAGTTTTGGTGGTCAGGCTTTATGTCAGGTTATGCATGGATGGATCAGTCTTGTTTCAGTGTAATACTAGTAGAAACAGTTTAAATGGCTGAACGATATGTTTTATGATCAAAATGAGCAAGAACATAATCTCATCGAATTAGTATTGAGAATAAGGCACATGAAAATGTTATCTGATTTACCATGTGTATGGAAGGAGGGCAAAAGGTATATTAGTTACTACAGATTTTTGTATTTTTGTCTTATTGAAAAATGCATGTAAGAATGACAGAATTATGCTTGTATAGTTTGGTTTTATCAGAGACCGTAAAATAGATGGTCTCCAGAGATGCCAACCCATACGATTTTATCGTATAGCGTTATGAAAAAACAACACAAAATACGTGACTACGATAGCAGTACAAATATACGATTTAAAAAAAAATGCATTAAGTTAAATTATTAGATAGCATACGTACCATACACAATTTATTTCAATCACATTATATTCAGTATCAAGCTATATGTGGATACGTACTACTCATTTAGTTGAGTATAACGTTAATAACAAGGTCTTAGACTATATATAAATTTTTTTTATTTGCTATGAAAATTCTTTGGAAAAGTTAATACTAATTTTGGCCAACAAATACTAATTTTTTAATCAGTTTTGGCCAAAATACTAATTGGGCTGGTTTTATCAGAAACCATATATAATGGATGGTCTCTGGTTATCCGCAGTCTGAGAACTGAAAACATTTTTTGTGGAAGATGATTTTTCTGATGCTAGGTAAATTCTCAGTCTCTGTCATATAATAACTGAACAGTGTAAGATACGTAGCACAACTCTCAAGGAAAGATATGAAAATGTTTGTATCAGTTTAGAACTTGATGAATCAGGATGAGACACTATTGATTGATGAATCATTTAGTCTTCTGTATTTCCTAAAAGTTGTGCAATGAAATATTTTTTAATTTGTTTGGAGCCTTCGAGGATTGTGGTTCTTCAACTTGAACATGTTTGAAAGCTTTGTGTTCGTGCTTACTGGGAATATCTCTTACAAATATATACGCAAAAGATAATTCAGTTGGAAACATGGCTTACTCGTGCTTGAAATCAATTTACATATAAAGCTTCAGGACTTCTCTGTGGAGAATATGGTCTTAACTTTAGACATTTATCTTCATTTAATGATTAGATGTGTTGATGTTTTGCCTGAAACTCAAAGGAAAGTCTCCATGGATTTTATTGTAAAATGTTTGAACAAAATGCAAGTTCACCTTTGAGTCATTTTGAATGCATGGCATTTGTTAGGATATAATGTAATTAACTAAAGAAAAACGTCCAGAGTCCCTGCACACTTTTATTGACGGTGCATATTAAAGAAATAGCATTAATAATAGTGTTTGAAAAAGCAACCCTGAAAATTGCTGCAATGATGTATGCAACTGTACTGCTGCCAACTCTATGCTAAGTGCTGCGTGTATCGATGCAATGTTCACAGCCTAACTAACATGACATTCACAGTCTCCCATCTCTCCATCTCTCAGATACCCACAATGATGGCTGCAGACCGGTCCAGCACTTGCAGACAGCGCCCAGCTCCGTACCAGGATGATGTGGTCTCTGACCACTCCACTGCAGCAGTCTTCATGTAATGTGCTGCTTCGTATGATGCCATTTTTTTACAAGGATTATTGGATATTACAATCGCGGAAAATGTGTCATGTGTTTCATTTGTGGGATGGCAGTCTCTCGCTGTGGAAGATGATCCGGATTACGTAAGCTGTGTGGAATAATTGATGAATTGTACGCCAGGACTTAATGAAGATACCCGTGCCTAACGAGATGAGTGCTTGATTTCTACAATGTAGTTGGATTTTTTGCGGAGGACTTAGTGACTAGACAGCAAGCAACAATGTCGTCATACGGAGACAGGCAGTTTATTCTCTGTCTGAAGAAACATCCTTATCAAAGAAATGAACAGGTACTGTATTGAATATTGTTAAACTAGATGTCTAAAGACATTCTCAAAACAAATTATCCTCACTGATTAAAACATTATATAACCTGTATGAAATGTCTTGTAAAACATGGAAACATTTTTTTTATTATGATGACAACTCAGTTATTTTGGTTTTGTGAGGGAAATATCAATAAATTAACTTTCCTAACAGCCGTTATTCTTACAAATCTGTTGAAACAATACTAAGGATACATTGTAGTGTGATATATTTATTATGAAATATATTTGAAGCAATAGTATAGAAGTAGGGATGATTTTGGGGTAAAATGCTTAAAAGTTGATTTAGACAACCCATATCTTCTTCAGCCTGTTGAATGTTATTCTAAGGGAACTGATAGACCACATGCCCATAGTGCAAATATTTCTCAATCAGTGTTTGTTAATGTTTAGCCTGTTATGTGTGTACTATTTTGCAAATATTTGAAGCAATGATTGAGACAAAAGAGGGGAATACAGGCTAGAGGTAGGTGATTACAAGAAGCAGTGTAGGTATCAAGGATATCTCCCCTGGGGGTCTCAGCTGGTGGAGTTCACGCTGTGATCAACGCTATCTGTAGCAGATCAGAGCCAGGCATTGCTACCTGTACACACTTCTCTCCTTGTTTTTGTATGTCTGGCTGAAATATGCTGTTGCATGCAAATTCTGCCTTTGAAATAACCCAGTTCTGATATTCCCAGGACTGGGGACTACAATTAGGGAAGTAGAGTGGTTCTCCTCCATACATGGAACTACAAATTGAATTTCACCACCCTGATGCCAGCTTGTATGTAGTTGCACAGTAATTTGTCCTGATGTGTTAATCTTTCCTTTGGGAGGCACCATCAGAATACTGTCCTGTTTATAGTCATTAATAGAAGGAGGGCAGTGTATTATAACGATAGACATGGTACGATATAGTCTGATGTCTTTTTATTCCTATTGCTGTATAGTTTTGAAATATTGCAGCATTAAATTTCAACACATATTTTGTTCTTCCTGTTGGATAAATTGCCTTTAAGATTGCTAAATAATGTGTTTAATTGTTACTGAGTGCCAATACATTGTCATGGAAATGATATGAAGAAGAGTAGACAGACCCCTGATCTCCAGTATTCTGTTATGGACCAATAGTCAGGAATTTCTGTTAACTGATTTTCAGTATTTTTCATGACATTATTTTATTCTTATTCCTGCTTTTGCCCCTCAGCTAACAATTCACTGGCCGTTCTGAATGTGCATTTGATGAAGAAGAAAACCTAATGTCATTGTTTATCACAGAGAAACTATATATCAACCATTAAATGGATGCTGTCGGAGAAATCACTAAAATCTGTTGATTTTGGAAATGAAATAAATTATTCTCCTAATTACATAATCTATTCTGGAGAACAGATGCACATCGACACTAAAGTGTTTATGCAGCCCAACAACTATTTGCACATTATGACATTAGGATATAGATGAAAAGAACATTATTAAGATATTACAAATATTTATTGCAAAAATAATTTGGTTAATCATTTCGACAAATTCAGTGAAATAGTTATTGATTAGCTTAAATGTTATCAACCAAACTATTCCCACCAGTCAGGGTCAAGGGTGGCCCAGTCATCTGAGGTTCTGGTGTTTGTTGTGCAGAGTTCTGTCCCCCTGGGCAAACCCGTTATATCCCAGTCTGACCCAGTTATGTTTCAAGGTTGGTCAGCTTCATGCTTGTGGGTTTTACCAAAGTGGTATATGTGAGAGACCGGCATCACTTTGAGCTTTAACTTGACATGCTGTGATGTAACTGGAATACTGTGCAAAGGAGCATTAAACATATCTCACTCACAACCAGCTGTTCAGTGTATGTTCAGTTTTCCCAGACATTATTGAGACAATCTTTGTTTCCGAATACTGACAATAGAATTTTAAAATAGGTGTTAAATTATGTAATAAGGTACTCAATATGGGAGGAAACTCTTGTAGGCTTAAGAATGAACCTTACTACATCAAGAGTTATCTCCCCCTGGTGTAGCAGACGGATTTCTTTGTTGACATGCCGGATTTGACAGCAGAAGAAAAAAGAAAGCTGGTTCTAGATGATTTTGATAGGGGTGTGACAAATGCAAAAGAGTTAGCTGGTAGACATGACATTCCTCTGTCTACAGTATACAGAACTTTGGGGAATATTCAGTCAGGAGTTGGCATTGAGCACAGGACGGGCGGGGAGGCCAAGGAAGTTCAGTACTACGGATCGCTGGCGACTTGGTCAGATTGTGAGTAGGGGAAATGTTAGAATTGTTGAGAATATCAGAAATGAGATGATTAATAGAGGACATCCCGAGGTATGACTTAACTGGGTGAAAAAGCCTGGAATTTCCTCACCATTGATCAAAGATGCCCAAAAAGAAAGACATTTAAACTGATGTAGGGCTCACAAAAATCAAGATTGGGATATTGTTTTCTATTCTTTTGAAAGTTCTGTGTGGCTTTTTCTGAACTGTGTGAAAATTTGTACAAAAGATACTGTGAAACCTATCTACCAACACCCAAAACATAGCCGAAAATTTCACATGTGGGGTGGGATATCATCACGTGGAGTGACGCTGTTGTGTATTTTCACTGGAAATTTGATGAAGGAACAATATGTTGACATCTTAAATGGTCATCTCCTTCCAACGGCCCTAAAACTCCATGAAGATAATTGGATTTTCCAGCATAATAACGACACAACGATTTTGAGCTCTACAAAACCGTGATTGTCGGATGAAAATGTTCAAGTTTTAGACTGGCCCAGCTACATCCCAGACCTTAACCCTATTGAGAATGTGTGGGGACTAGTGAAGGACAGAATAAACCAAAAAGGACTTGGAAATATTGAGGATATGAAGAAAGAAGAGGTCGAATATTCGGATATGCTGTCACACGATTTCCTACAAACTTTGATCGGTGGTGTACCTTGGCACATTCAGTCGTGTATTGAAGGACAAGGTCGTCTTACAAAGTACTGAAAAGACACTTTGACTGTCAGAGAATCATATTCTATAGTTTGTATACATGTATTTGATATTTGCCGAAACAACTTTTTCAAAAAATTCTGGGAATACTATATGTGCACACCAAACTTTTGAATGGACTTGGGACATGGCTAAGAGGGCCCATACTCCTTATACAGCAAGGCAGCAGTTCCATGTGTCTGGGGTCAACTGTTGAGGAGTGATAGTATTTGGAAGTTATTCTATGAACATGTGTGTCAAGTGAGACCAAGGTTAATACAGAAATTCTTACACAAGTTACGTGAAATCAGTATGTCATGCATACAATTTATATAACTTCATATTACTTATTTTGTAATTGTTTTTATCTGCCCTTAAGAAAATTGCACTGATTGTGACTTGTCTTAGAAAACCCCACATTAAATAACGTTCACCATCTTGAGCTGAGCATCATTTCTAAAGTGAGGTCATCAGATGTTTACGTAACAATATTTCTAAATACAGTCAGCACTACAGCCTGGATGCTGTGACTGACTGAGTTTGGTTTTACGCCGCTTTTAGCAATATTCCAGCAACATCACGGCAGGAGACACCAGAAATGGGCTTCACACATTGTGCCCATGTGGGGATTCGAACCTGGGTCTTCGGTTTGACGAGCCAACGCTTTAACCATTAGGCTACCCCACCGCCCCTGGATCCTGTGAACCATGTACTGGTGTGCATGGCAGGATATTTACACCAATGTACATGTACATACGACTGTTACAAACCCGTTTAGTCATTAGTCTCCCATACCACCACTGTGACAGTGACTCAAGCCAGACTCCATGTATATAAGGCATGGCAGGATATATACACCAATGTACATGTACATACGACTGTTACAAACACGTTTAGTCATTAGTCTCCCATACCACCACTGTGACAGTGACTCAAGCCAGACTCCATGTATATAAGGCATGGCAGGATATATACACCAATGTACATGTACATACGACTGTTACAAACACGTCATTAGTCTCCCATACCACCACTGTGACAGTGACTCAAGCCAGACTCCATGTATATAAGGCATGGCAGGATATATACACCAATGTACATGTACAAACACGTTTAGTCATTAGTCTCCCATACCACAAACAGTGTTTCCAGTCATTAGTCTCCCATACCACCACTGTGACAGTGATTAGTCTCCCATACCAGACTGACTCAAGCCAGACTCCATGTATATAAGGCATGGCAGGATATATACACCAATGTACATTTACATACGACTGTTACAAACCCGTCATTAGTCTCCCATACCACCACTGTGACAGTGACTCAAGCCAGACTCCATGTATATAAGGCATGGCAGGATATATACACCAATGTACATGTACATACGATTAGTCATTAGTCTCCCATACGACTGTTACAAACCGTTTAGTCATTAGTCTCCCATACCACCACTGTGACCCATACCACCACTCAAGCCAGACTCCATGTATATAAGGCATGGCAGGATATATACACCAGTCTCCCATACCACCACTGTGACAGTGCCAGACTCCATGTATATACATGTACATGTACATACGACTGTTACAAACATTAGTCTCCCATACCACCACTGTGACATATGACTCAAAGCCAGACTCCATGTATATAAGGCATGGCAGGATATTTAGTCATTAGTCTCCCATACCACCACTGTGACAGTGACTCAAGCCAGACTCCATGTATATAAGGCATGGCAGGATATATACACCAATGTACATATACATACGACTGTTACAAACCCGTCATTAGTCTCCCATACCACCACTGTGACAGTGACTCAAGCCAGACTCCATGTATATAAGGCATGGCAGGATATATACACCAATGTACATTTACATACGACTGTTACAAACCCGTCATTAGTCTCCCATACCACCACTGTGACAGTGACTCAAGCCAGACTCCATGTATCATGATGTATATAAGGCATGGCATTTATGTACTAACTTTGTTCAAAAACA